TTCTCTTCTTGGGGCATAAAATCAACGGCACATCAATTTCCCCTGATCCCAAGAAGATAAGTGCTGTGGAAACATGGCCAACTCCGTCGTCAGTAACTGATGTGAGGAAGTTTCTTGGCTTTGCTAACTATTTCCGAAGGTTCATAGATCGACACTCGACCATCTCTCGTCCATTAGAAGAAATCACCGGAAAAAATTCACGCTTTGAATGGAGCGCTGCTAGACAGAAGGCATTCGAGTCTCTAAAATCAGCATTACTCGAGGCGCCAGTGTTGCAACTGGCCGATGTTGAGAAAAGCTTCACGGTAGAAACTGACGCAAGTGACTTTGCCGTGGCGGGTGTGCTCCTGCAGCAGGGAGAAGATATGGATTTGCATCCCGTAGCCTATTGTAGTCGGAAACTGTCAGCTGCAGAACGCAACTATACTGCGGCCGAGAGGGAAACGTTGGCTGTGGTATTTGCATTAAAGTGCTGGAGAATCTATCTATTCCGCCACTTTGACCTGATGACTGATAATATGGGTGTTGCCTATTTACGAACCAAACCGAATCTCACCAAGCGTGAGGCAAGATGGGTAGAGTTTTTAGCTGACTATGACTTTACGGTCTTTCACAAACCAGGAAAGAAAAACATTGCCGACCCGCTTTCACGCCGTCCAGATCTGTTCAGTGATTCTGAAATAGGCGGGTCATCCTATCCTCCTAACATTCAGTTGAATGCCATAGAGCATACCCTAGAGATTAATCCAGACTTAGCGCAGTTAATTGTCAGCGGTTACAAGTGCGACAAGGATCTTGCTCCCATTATCAGGAGACTGAAAAATTCAAGCTATGACAATCTGCACGACCGTTACAATCTAAATGAAACACCCGGTTATCTTTATCTCAGATCTTCACCACAGAACAGGCTATGCATTCCAAAGAGTAGCAAACTCCGACTCGCCCTGCTTCAAGAATACCATGACTGTGTGACTGCGGGGCATCCCGGTCGAGATCGCACCTATTTCAGACTCGCTAGATATTTCTATTGGCCCAGAATGGGACTGGATGTAAAGGCGTTTGTCAAGTCATGTGACGTCTGCCAACGAGTTAAAGGCGGCCAGCTAAAAACTGGTCTCTTGCAGAATTTACCAGTGCCCAGTCAGCCGTGGGCGGATATCTCGATGGATTTTATCATGGGTTTGCCTAGGACCGATACAGGTCATGATGCTATATATGTATTTGTAGACCGCTTGACAAAGTGTGTACATTTAGCACCTACTTCCTCTACTATTGACGCTAAAGGAAGTGCTGATCTGTATATTCAACATGTATTTCGACTTCATGGTTTGAGTTCTAGTATTGTATGTGATCGTGATCCAAGATTTACGGCAGCATTTTTTCAGGAATTGTTTGATCGCTTAGGAACGAAACTAGCATTTAGTACTGCCAATCACCCTCAGACAGATGGCCTAACTGAACGAGTAAACAGAATAGTAGAGGATGTGCTGAGGGCTTTTGTAAATCATAAACAAGATAACTGGGATATGCTCCTACCTCTCTGTGAGTTTTCTATCAACAGCGCTACTCAATCATCTACAGGAAACACACCGTTCTTCTTAAATTACGGTCTAAATCCCAGAGCGCCACCCGACTTCCTCAACCCTATTCAGGGAGGCAGAGATTCAGCTGATTGGTTGCAAGCAAGACAAGACGCGGTCAAGATCTCACAAGATGCGCTAGTGGCAGCTCAAGCTCGTCAGGCCTTCTATGCAGATCGGACAAGGGTCGAGGGAAAGCTGAAGGTGGGAGATTTGGTAATGGTCTACCGGGATTTCCTCCTGACTCCTGAAGCTCGGGACCGACCATCCCATAAATTACGCCCCAAGTGGTTTGGCCCCTTTCCTATAACCCATGTGGTCGGCCCGAATGCCTACAAGCTCAAGTTGCCTCATACCAGCCGCTGTCACCCGGTATTTAATGTGTCGGCACTCCGTGCCTACGAGAAGAACGCTATTCCTAATAGGAGACAGCCTACGCCTCCGCCTATCACGGACCTTGATGGTCATGCCCGCTATGTGGTGGAGAACATTCTCAGTCACCGCCGCCGGCAGAATCAGCTTCAGTACCTAGTCAAGTGGCAAGGCTACTCTGATGCCACTTGGGAGCCTGAACATTATTTGTTGGATGAATCTGGTAATGACATTGTTCCACTTCAGAAGTACAAAACCTTGGCTTCTGCCCGCTGAGTTTTGCAGTTGAACTTCTAGTTTCACCTTACACATTTGTTGAGCTTATTACACTTTATTTGCATGGAGTTTCAGTCGTCTTATTGTGTTACTTCAGTGCGAAGCCTTTTTTCGTCTCGCACGTGTTTGCGCTTATTGTACTCTATTCCACTTGAGCATTTGGGTTATAAGCTCCTTCCTCTCCATAGGAGCGGGATGATGTAACAGTTTTCCCCTGTTCTCTATAACTTTACACTCCCTCGCACCTCATGCGTCTTACGCCTGTCTATTAGCACCTTCATTGGCGCCATTGCCACATGTATACTATCACATTTTGCATATAACTGGTCGAGGCACGCTCAACCAGGCCTCTTACTTTTCAAGTTTGATTAAACCTGTTACACATCCGGCATCATATTGTAGTGAAATCGTAATCCTGTTGATGTCTATAAAACTTTTGGAAGCAGTTCAATGACTTCAAAGTGTTACAAGTCCACGATTGTCTAAAACAACACAGCAAAGTAGGAACAATAAACATGTATTAAAATGTAAACAAAGACATTGCTGAGTCCAACACGTCGTTCCAACAACTACACTGATCCTGAGGATATAGGGGGCAAGGATATATGGTTGGAGGTACTGAGAGATAACCAAGGCACTCCATAATAATAACAGGTTACACGACTTTGGGGGAGTATGAATGATATCCAGTCAAACCTCTTTAGGACGAACATCAAGGGACCGATAGCATTTGCTCTGTGAGTTTGTCTTAACCCTATTTTATAACGAGTGCATACAATAATTATTTCTCCAATAGAGACACGAATAGATTTCTTCTACAGCGAAAGATTCGAAGCCAGACCAAACCATTGACTCGTCTTTTATGAAAGAAATGAGTCACTGAACCTTTCTTTAGCAACATGACGGCAACTGAAACAACAACAGAGAAAATACGATACATGTACCGTAAAGTACCGCCAGAGCGCCCCACCTTGATTTTACAGCCAGAGAAAGTAAAATCGTATGGCAGAGTGCAACGAAGTGTGTACGATGTGAGAATCTTAGTGTACTAAGGTCACACTTGGCAGGTTTTTGTGTGGAGCTTGTGTCCTCTTGATCTTGAAGGTACAGATTGACTGCAAAACGTGCAATATGTGTACAAGGTTCATGTCGTATGACCTACAGACAGCAGACCACCTCCACAATACGACCACGAAAGGATGAGATGGTGGGGCGCTCTGGCGGTACTTTAGGCCCTCTTCAGACTAGGTACAAAACAGCCTATAAGTCACATTTACATAGAAGTTTCCAGGACAACAACAAGAATCTGGCGGGAAGCCTAAAAAGCTGCCCAATCCTTTCAGGCAGGGTGCCAACCCTTGTACAAGGCAACTTTCCTGCATTTATCGTACTTTCACCAGGCAGTTGTACGAACTTTGTACCCGGGTACGACTGTCCGCTGCTTTCACACATCCCAGGCCCCTTGCGCAATTTCGTAGGGTCAAAGGTTGCCTGTATATTGCATGTAAAATGTGTAGTCTGAAAGCAGGCATGGAAAAATGTTGCCTTTTAGGTTTTATGTGATTTTGTACTGGATTTTCTATGTACGTAGTCTGATGAGGGCCTTACGGTACAGCACATTCTTGCAGGTACTACAAACAGATTGCAGATCGTAATTCTTGCTCTACCGGCACGCAACTTTATTTGGGGCAGTGCAATCTCGGCGCTACTCACAAATCAAACAGCCCAGGCTCGAGTAATTTCAAACAAATCCGATCGTACGAGATTTTCACGAGACGAGACTGCACCCATTGGCTTGTTTCGTATGAAGCAAACAAGTCACTGAATGCATGAACCTCTCCATAATGGAGATTTTCCCTGATATGCGAATTTAGTTTGCATACTAGTACTCGGCCAATGCGTCCTTGAACTTTTCCCTCCAGATTGGGAACTGCCAACGATGCTATGCCACTGATTCAGATTCTACCCTATGATCGGAGCACGGAATGCCGGAAGTAATCATGACCAGTGCCTTACTTGTAACGTACCAATGTACAATGAACATGAGTATTTCGACAACACATCTAAGCCTCAGGAGCAACATAAGCCTTACCGTCAAGAAGGTGAACTCGCGTTCTTCGCACACTGTTGGCAAGGGCAAAGAGATACGAATGGATCTAAATCCGAATAACATCAGCACACGTTTCCGTAAATGAAAGGGTGAGCATAAGCAAATGAATCGAAGGAAGCTGGTCAATTCAGAGATCACCTGTCATTGAGTATCCCGTAAAAGGAGGCCTCGACAGCAGAAAAGTTAATAATATAGAAAAGAGATCCTGTCAGCTTTTCCATTTATTAATTTTATTGTATTCCACCTAAAATCAGCACACTTTTCGTAAATGAAAGAGTCAACACAAGCAAATGAATCAAAGGGAACTGGTCAACTCACCTGTCATTGAGTAATATTCCGTGAAAAGAGGTCTCAGCAGAGCCGAAGCGAAATAAGCCAGGACACGAAATATCCGAAACAGCTCATGCAAGAAGCAGTTCCAAAGAAGGAAGTTCCTCGCGCATGCACATCCGAAAACGGACTGCACTGCATGCAACACAATGTCTGCCGTGCACGTGCACAGCATGCGGCTACCACGCGTTGGTAGATAATATAATACCGAGCACCTTACGTAGAAACTTACGTAGCCTAAGTGAAGTACCGAGCACCTTACGTAGAAACTTACGTAGCATAGCGGTGTCGTTTTTTCTGCCATGTGAACACAATAATAGAAAAGCTGACAGGATCGCTTTTCTAAATAATAGGATAGTGTTGAACAATTTTGAGCGGATTCAACCGGATCTAACTCTTCAAATAGAGCTTGAAAGTGTCGAAATTGTATCATAATGAAGAATCGCAATGCATTCCAGAGTGCGTTTCCAATCAAATCGCACGTATGACCAACATTTATCTTACATATTTGTTTACACAACTCAGTATTATTATTATTATACTTCAATGGCTTTGTTCACAGCAGTAAGAACCTGAGCTAACTAAGAAAAATATGAGTATTAGCCAATCATCAAACGCAGCGGCATTGCAATCAAGAAACCATAAATATTATCTGGAGTAGATCTACGGAAAGGAATACCTACACAGTAGGCACAATGTATCGCCATAGTAAAAGGCTTGAAAACACGTAGTAGCTGTCATTACCTGTACGTGCCCATGCTGTCGTCATGGTCCCCCGGACACTCTAGGTTTGTACACTTCTCAGCCACTTCATATAAGCAGGATCTGGCAAGTCGTACCCTTCTGCTTTCCGGCGACGATACAATGCTAGAGTGGCCGGTGGCAGCAAAGCGCTGGCAACAGCACTGACGGTGAAACTTGTGGCGGCACTGACAGTGGCACTTGGCGTAGCAGTGACGGTGGAACTTGGGGCGGCACTGACAGTGGCACTTGGCGTAGCACTGATGTCTTCACACTGTGTTGCACTGGTAGCCTGGCGGATGGCTTCGGTCTCAGCAAAGTGCCCCGCCAGCTTTGCTAGAGTCGGTGCAGACTTAGTCACCCTTGGCCGACCAGTCGTATCGGGCTCTGCAAGTAGCGCTCTCAGACCAGCTGCACCGTTTCTCCGGAAAGAAACCCTCAAATCCGCAAGGCTTAGCCCACTGCTGGCAATTTTCTTCGCCATGCCATTAGACAGCGCCTTGACGGGGATGCAAGCTTTCATCTCTTCAGCCAATTTCTTGCACCGGAGGTTGTATGCATGCACATCAAATGACGATTGAGATGTAACACAGAGTGTGAATGCCTTGTCTGAATCTAGGCATTTGTCATAGAGCTCAGACAAGGCATTCACATCACCAATCGCATTGTGTGCATCATACCCCTGGGTGCCAACAAACTGTCTGAACAGATGCTCCTGAGTGTAGGAGACACAACCTGGATGCGCATTCCTGATGGCAGGCAAAGTGTCAATGAACCCAGCCACCGCAGAGAGAAGGTCTTGCACCATACCTAATCTCTCCAGTTGGTTGAACAAGACTCGGCAATCAAACTTGAGTAAATTGTGACCAACCAACACAGTTTGACTGCCAAGCCCCTACAACCAACGGATGAAAGTGGTGATGGCATCATGGAGGGTGACAGATTGCAAAGGCTCTTTGGATCCAACGCGCTGTAACCTCCTCTGGCCATTGACCGCAGTGACAGTCAGGCCGATCTTCTCCGTGGCTTTCGGATGGATGGGTCTTTCCGGCACAACGTACTGGCTGAAGGTGTTGCTGCCAGACTGGGCCGCAAGCTGAACTATCTCGGCACAGTCGCCGAACCCTGTCGATTCCAGGTCAAAGAACACTAAGTTGGTGTCCTTTGACGTCTCCAGTGGCTTATATGACACAGGCCCGGATGGTGGTGGCAACACATGGTCATCTGATGGACGGAGAGCGCATTCACTTCCATACTGTGTACCTTCTCCTTCCTGTAGTAGAAAGCATATGCAAGCAAACAGTGCTTTTCAGAAACTCCCAATCTCTTTCAAACACAGGATACATGAGAATCCACTGCAGGAACACCAGAATAGGCGTAACGACAGCAACTATCAGCAGCGGTATACCTAGCTTCGCCATCTTCAACTGCTTTGTTACTAAAACTACAGATGATCTAAACTTGTCTGTGAAGCCCGGTTAACATCCAACCTACGTTGTAATAAATCCGGTTGGTAACGAACACAGTTAGGTTGAATGTAAGGTTTGGAGACGTACATGTATCTGACTATGCTCTTCAACGCACCAGCACTTCAGGCACAGCAGCAGTTATTACCAAGTTATTACAGAGATTATGATAGGGTATCTGACCAGTGGTCACATTTTTATACCTCAACGCAAGGCACAGTACATGCCTGGTGCTCGCCACCCTCCTAGACCTTCTACTGTCGCGCCTTGGCCCGCGCCAGCTTTCTAGCCATACCTTACACCAGATTTAGCGCTAAATTTGTTTACGCTTGTGGCCCTCTGCGTTTGTAAGCATACTGTTGGGTAGACCCGAGTATCAGTTGTCTGATGATTGCCTAACTGCATGAAACTCAGAGTGACAACCAACCTGAACGTCCTCCGCTGAATCTGCTATGTACATGTACATGTACATGTTTTGAGGTTAGTTGCTCGCATTACATCGAAAAGTCGACGAACACCGCCATTGTTCATTCTGTTGCCCACTCAGTACTTAGGCAGAACCTTTACATCACCAAAACCTGCACCGGCATACTGGAAGCAATGACATCGTGAACTTTACATTCATTGTCCAGTGCATTGGAAAGCATGCTCCGCCACACCGCATTGCAGCTTTTTGTTGCGTTAGTCCTTGTCACAGCCTTACTAACATCTGTACATAGGCCTGCGATACATGTCATGTACATGTATAATCTATGTATGTCCCCACAGGCCGGTAGTGGTCAGCATCCTGAGGTGCCTTCTTTCCTGCTGCTCTGCACTTCAGCCCAGGTGGGCGAGCTGGCCATCTCAAATCTACACGCGGGCTTCGAGTTTGAAAATTAATCACTAGCACTTTTCCCAGCAAACACTGATACAGATGTGGAATTAAATTATTTCCTAGGCAGCAAGAGATGCGAATCAATACCCGACCTTTGTCACTCACAATTCAGGAAACTGTCAATGCTACTGGCTGTACTTGCAGCATTCCTGGGTTACCTTGCGCACGCCATTCACATTGTCTAGATTCATTGTTCCTTGAGTGCACCGAACCACAATCGATCTACATTCGATGAGGCAATCGACTCTCGGCCTAACTGATGTAGTCTACAGTGAAACCTGTGCATGTGACTAACGACCACCCGGTACCCCTTGAGCCCAGAAAAAGCCGTCTTTAGTCCATGGCTCGTGGTCCTTAGTTAGACGTTTGCAAAAGTGACTGATTTTTTGCGTGTAGTGTTTTTGGATTTTACTGCAAGAGGAATGATGAAGTCACGTGCCTCGTGACACAAGAATGCCATGTCTCGCAGATCACGGTTCAGCAGTTGTTCCGAGTCACCTGTGATCAAGCGCACCAGCACTTAGATGTACATGATTGTACATGTATCGCCCGTTGATCTAGATCGGATCAAGTGCATCTTGAATCTTGATGTCCAGCTCAGAGCACGCATGTCACGTGTTGTACGCCTTCCAACCGGGACTTTCCCGCAACAGGCAGCACAGAGACTAGGGCGAGTACTAGTAGGGTCAAATGACGTTGTTCATGACGTAAGATACCTGCCATTTTCGCCACTCGACAACTACTACTACTACTACTAGTACTTGCGCGAGTAGCGCGGTCAGCTTAAGTACGGACAATATGGCTGCCAGCAGGAGATTAAGGCGAGTCTAAAACGAGGAGCAGCAGCTTCTGGTTGAGGTCTGAGATGAGAAGGGACTCTCATCTTGGCTTACGGTAGTGCCCAGGTTCCAGGGCGGAACAGTTCTGAAGAATACTTACTTCAGGGATGCACTCTGCATTCGATACGGCCGCCGTTCGGTGGGCCTTCCGGACACATGTGTTTGCGGTGCAGAACTCACCGCACAGAATGCGCTCACCCACACAACTGGTGGCTATAATTATGATAGCGCGCCATAATGAGGTGCGCTATTTGATTGCGCATCTGCTCCGAGAGGCCGGGACGGAGAAAGTTGAGACAGAGCCGAGATTGTTGCCTTGTGCGGGCGGGGACATCCCGGCAGGGCGATCCGTCAACAGGTGTGCCGAAAGTCCTTAGCCTCGATGTTCGTGGAGCGGAACAGTGGACTGAACTATTCAGTGGTGATGGGCTTGTTGCGCACCAGATTGTCATTTTGTTACATGTAGATGGGCCGTCAATTGCTTCAGAGGATGCCGCCCATCATACAGTGATAGGCCCCGGTTGAACTCGTTTGTTGCGCAGTGTCGCCAGGCTGAGTAAGCACTTGCCCTTGGCCGTATGTACTTGGTGTTATTCCTATTTATTTTTTATTTTACTCCAATACCTACCAGTTCAACATAATATCGCCAATGTTTAGGCTGTTGTGTTTGTCATAGCCCGGGAGTGAGGGCTTGTAACTTACTGCTGATAGCTACTGTGCGTAGAACGTGGACACACTATGTCTTGCGTAGTTGGAACAGTTATGTACTCTTGATGATAGGTTTGGCTGCTTTCAATAGATGAAGCGCACGACTGTGCACTTGCGGTAGAAAGTGCAATACAATGTAATTATGAATTCGCAATATAGTAGTAGCACGCGAGGTGTGGATGAGTGTGAGTGCACCTACTTGATCACTTGGTTGGCAATGCTTTTAATCAGGTTATTGCAGTCTAGACGCCGGGTCTAGTCTCGCCCCTTTCTAATACTCTTTCACACTTTGCATATTTAAGTTATCATGATGACCGCCGCTTCTAGATCACGCAGACCTGTGCGTGTATGTGTGTGCGTGTGCGTGTCCGATCGCCGTTCCGCGCAGAGGACAAAGTAGCAGTTTAGCTGCATGTTTAGCAAGTACTATCGCTACTGCCGCTGCTTGCTGTTTTCTACAGTGTGTTATATCATAGCATGCTGCTGCTTTTAGCGAGGGGTTCTTTCGGTGCTCTTCTTCCAAACACTGAACATATTCTCTGCTCTGACGAGATCAGTTGGTGTGTGTGTGTTGGGATTAGGATTGGGTGAAGTTGCGTTCCGTACCAGCCGTGACTATACTTGTCACAAACGTTCCGAGGTTAGCGATCCAGCCAGACGAGACTAACCGGAACGCTGTCCGAGCGAGTTATCACATGTTCAATCATTCACAAATTGGTTTTGAGAAGACTTTGAGTTGATTTCCCTGATCACCACCTGGTCAAAACAATAAGACCAATGTTTTATTGCTTTTGTGTTTAATTGTTTATTTTGATATTATTTCCCCACTTTAGTTTGATGATATGATGATATGCATGTTGACTTGGCTTTTCCTATGGAGCTGGCCGTGATTGCTGCAATGATGATGACGACATCAACACTGAAATCCAAGAGCTGTATTGACCTACTTCATCCTGCTGTCTTGTGGATCGCGAGCAAAACTCTGATGCATGTGTTTACTGCGTCATGAACAGAGCTTTTTTGGTTTGCTATAATTATGTACATGTAAATACTTCAAATCTTGCAAACTGCTGAATATGTAAATAATTTGGTTGTGTCACTTGTATATCATTTTGGTCGCTCTTTGCTATTCTTTGCTGCTGCGCCGCTTGAGACAGACATGTAAATGGTTTGGTTGTCTTTTCACTTGTATTATAATTATGTCGGCTCAGAGTCATTGCTACTGTATTCTACTTGCTGCTGCGCTTAAGTACATGGCACAGCCAATGTACTTTACATTTTTTGTAGCACCAACACTAAATTTGTATCAGGGACTGAGCGCCACATAATTACACAACTCAAAGTTTGACAGCCATGCCACAGACTCGCATGAAAATCAATTTGATCGTGTTTGTACAGTTGCTCGCACTGACCTTGCAAGTCCTTAGTAATTTTGCATAAACTTTTTTGTTTTTTTAAATGTATTCAGCTGAATGATGTTTTATTGCCACCAGGGAGGTGTACCTTCCCTGACTGCCACCAACTGGAGTCTAAAACGGACTCTCTATGCAGAAACCCACTAAACTCTAGAATATCTGGGTTCGAGTACATGTACAATTTCCGTACGCAGCGGGAGATCGCCATATCTAACAAACGGACAACTGTACAGACTTGCTGATACTTTTATCGTCTTCAGCAGCCACAACTTAGTCAGAAAAAGCTCTCAAAAATGTGTGAGCTCCTACTGGTTACGAGTTTCTAGGAAATACCACCTCGGACTGTTGACTAATTTGGGCGCGTCACATACCCATGCAACCAGTGTAGGACGTGTGCTGGTCAACTCCAAGCGACCTTGATGGCATGGACCACGGTCATTCCTTGCTGTTGCAGATCTACGTGGATCATCAGCATGTAAACTAGCCGTAGCTCCTGTTGAACCATGGTCGGGATGAGCGAGGTCAGTGTGAACAAATGCATCCCTGTTCTTACTGGAAGAGGAAATATCTCAAAGAATTCTTGCCAATGCAATACTGCTAGCGCTATAACGATAGTTTCTGCATGTTCTGAGCAGACCATGCAAGAAATATAATGAAATCTTACCTCCTCCCTCATGGTCCGTTTCAAACAACGCCTCAGGAACGACCGTGATCGGGTGCATTGTGTCGTGCACCAGAAAGCATTATTTTACGTCACGAGGCACGTGATTTCATCATTCCTCTTGCAGTAAAATCCAAAAACTACGCGCAAAATTCAGTCACTTTTGCATCATCTGTTGCACCGAAAAATGTTGGTGGCGCAAGGAGAAGCTTGTCGTTTGGAGTGACAAGTGATCACCGCTACTTTTCCTTGTCAGAGTCAACAAAACAGCTTGTTCTGCAGCGTTGGGAGTGGTGTTGGAGTAGAAATTGATGACTAGACGTCGCGGAGGGGCGAGCTTTCCTGCGCAGGTATGAGTTTGGACGTATTTCAGAATGTTCGAGTTGAAAAATTCAAAATTGTTTATTTCAAGAAAACCCAAAAAGGATGAATGGGGGACATGTCCCCAGTGCTAGAAGAGGTGCTCTACTATCTGCCGGTGTATAGTGTTTGCTAATTGAGGACGTAGCTCGCTGTTTTATCAGCGCTTGTAATTTGGCTATTTTCAAGACGTTCATTTGTGGCGTCAAAGGATGATTGCCATCGTCTTCTGGGATGCTGGCGTGGCTAAGTGGTGCTGCCCCAAGAACTCTTCTAAGGTTAGGTAATGTTGGCTTGATGGAGTTTTGTTCGTAGCTTGTCCTTGTACGCTGTGCCGTGGCTCGTTTGTAGACCCATTAATCGTGCCAATATTGGGCCAATATTGAGGGGTATGCCAATTTTATGGTTCCCTTCAAAAGATTTTGCGCGGGCTTTGGAATTTCGATCTACACCCCAAAGCAAATCTACTTGCAAAATTTGAGCGAAATCTGAGAGATCGAATTTCACATTATGTTCTGGTTTTCTCAGACATGCTCTCTTAAGGTTTTTTCTTCTACGGTTTGGCCTTGATCCAAGACGGCCTTCTTAAATCGACTTTTCAAAGTTTCAAACTGGCATTATGGAATAGTTTGAGCATTATAAGTGGCATTGTATCCTCATAATTATTTTGAGCATTCCCTTTAGCATTATCGCTGCAAATAACTAGCATTACCCGCCCATGCGTATTACCAAGTGCATCTCAACGAGTTTCTTGCATGTAAAATGTACATGTACATGTACATTGTATAAAATTATCCATGCACGTGTATTATTATTATAGTCAGATAGTCCTTTTGAGGTGATCGACGGTTGAGGCAAATTTCCGTAGTCAAGTATCTTACCTGCACATCCATCAACGCAATTATACGTATATGTACATGTACATGTACAGTACATGCTTTTGATTCCTCTCGAGTGTGTGTACATGTACATGTACGTATAATTGCGTAGATGTACATGTATGTACATGTACAGTCTAGGGACCGGCGGATTCTGCTCGAAAAGGTGGCAGATTCTGCTCGAAAAGCAGTGAAATTGGCAGAACCATACAAACTTTATGGCGGGCAATTCCTCGAATTCCGCTCCATTTCTTTACCCACATACCAAACATGCATGAAACTTACCAGAAAAAGTATCGAATGCTGCCAATTTTTCGGCCAGCAGAATCCGCCAGACCCTAAAATGTACACCCACCCAACCATGTACAATTAGGACACATCATACAATGTACATGTACATGTACATGTACATGTATATTGAAAGGTTTATTTATAACCATGCGAGTTCCTTGAAAGGTTTAGGCTGCTTTCGCTACCTTTTACATTCCCTCCTCCTCTGCACACCACAGGCAATGCATTTTACATGTACGTGTACATGTACATGTACGTTTGGACTTGTGTACATGTACATGTACATGTATTTGCATGCTTAGATAAGAAATTTGATGAATTCTTTTTTTCGACTTGCAAAGAAAAGGACGAGCGGAATCGACATGTGTAACGACTTTATTTTACTTCGAGGAACAAGCAAATCATGGAAGCCAACTAAGGCTGTGATGGACAATCAATAAACAATGGGCTAGTACATGTACAATAGAAAGTACATGTACATGTATGTGGAGAAACAAAAATGGTGGATAATGATTTACGTCAAACTAGCTTTCGCACAACATCCGGAAGAAACCGCTAAACTGAAGAAAATATTAATGCGACGGGTGGCTATGGAAATGAAATTCAAAAGTGAGAATTGATACTCGCAACAAGGCGAGTAGCAGTGGAGGGAGTGAGTTTTCATGTATGTGTACAAAAGAGTTAAATTGGCAGAAATATGGAAAGTCTGGGGCTTGAACAGCGGCGGGTAGACGAAAAACGCTTACACTGTGCGATAATTCAAGGGAGGAGGAGAAAGGAATTCAAGGATAGCATCCCTGAAAATCATACAGGAGGGCAGCATTGACTGCGACTGGTTAACGTAGAGTAGAAAGGAAAATTGTGCTAGAGTATCAATGGCACAGTGGTTGTAGTCGAATGCTCAGTGCACTATTCGAATGACATGTACGTGTACGTGTATGGGTATGGGTAAAGGCGTTATAAAGTCGTGTATGATTGATAGAGTGGGGAACAGAGAAGTGTGTGCAGGAGTACAACAGGGCACACCATGCTTTGGACACTAGTTTAATAGTTACTCGGTTATCACGGAAGCACGAACCATAGCAAATAATCAAGTGTTCCGTTCAGCGGTATCCTTTCTTGACACCGGAGAAAACGAGTTCTGTGAAAGATAAAGAGATTGTTCATAAAACAAATAATCAAAATATATTTGAAACTCGGATATTGAGCCAAAAATAAAAGTAGAAAGGAAAAGGACATATGGAAACGAGTTAAGAGATATTCTTATAATATTAATAATACTAATATTCTTATAATATTTAAACAAGCGTGTCGGAAACAGCAGTGTTAATGTACATGTAGCTACAAGGAGGTCTAATTGTACTGTAAGCATTTCCTATAATGTCGACATGTACAGTGTACATGTACATGTATGTGTGTAAAGAACTCTATGTTTCCGAAAAAGAAGGATTTCGAGGCAAAAACAGCAGAGATTAGCTTGCGGTGAAAATGTTGCTTGATAGCCCTGGGAGAAACTTCAAATATAAACAAGAAACATTCTTGTAGATTAGGCTACAGTGCCGTTTTCTTGAATAGCCCCAGGGAATCTTCCATCAGTAATTTCACATTGCTCTTACTCAATTAGGCTGAAGCAGCTTTCGCAGTATGATGGACATGTGCCAGCAAGGCTGCCACGAAGGCTGGAACCAACGTGATCCATGCGATGATGAAACTGGCACCGTAACTTGATTTAAAGCTCGCGGCCCCGCTGGGGCGAGACGTTTGGATATTAGTATCCTGGCTGATGAAGGCGACGAAGCTGAGAGCGGCAATGGCAATCGCGATACCTGAGTAAATAACCAGAAAGATAACAATACACAATGAAGCATGGCAGGAGGACATACATTCAAAATTGTTGGCACCATTCTAAAGATCCGTAGATATTTTCCTGAATTGAAAATGCTGTTTGTGATGATCGCTTAGAGCGTGAAACTCGAATTAAAAAAACACTATTTTCATCCTTCTATTCCTCCTATTCTTGTTCAATTTACAATGTAGTGTAATGATTAGCACCTTTTGTACAATAATAGCTATGTAAAGTATGAATGCCGCACCTTTTGTACAAGAAGATATTTTATGCTCGTATAATAGTTCCACATGGAAAAGAAAAATGCATATTAACCTTCTGACGAAGACATTGCAAATACCTTACAGGATCCAGGAGTAGTGGGGTTGGGTGTTAGAATGATGAACTGCAAACTGGCCTTGGGTATGAAGTTGTGAATAATGGTATCACATGACTGCGGAGCTAGTTCAGAATCCATGCATATTACGTGGATCGGCTTATCCTAATGCAGAACGAACTTGCACACTTACAACACATCTATGTTTGCTCGAGCATATGCACCTGTAGATTAGATTGTACTTCTTTCAAAATAATCCAGAGTACGTCACTAAAGTCGGTTCCAGCCCTGCTTGGTCTCTGCCTCTATCTATCCATCTATCTATCTACCTATCTGTCTATCTCTCGCGCTCTCCTTGTCTCTGTGTCTCTGTATCTCAGTCTATGCAACTGTATCTGTCTCTGTCTCTCTCTCTGTCTCTGTCTCTTTCTCTGTCTCCCTCCCTGTCTGGACATTTATCTCTCCATACGTACCAGATACAGAGAAGAAGATGCGAGGCAGCCGCAGGAGCTTGACCTTTGTGCTGTCATACTCAATGACCAAGGTGATGATCAATGCTATACCTGCGAATATTGTGGCTGTAAGGGAGAAGGACTGAGCCGAACGGAGGCTGGCTGAATTCAGAAATAGAAAAAATCAACATATACTCAATGTTTTATTTGGTACTCGGATATTGAACCAATCATGTTTGTAGACATGAAATGGACATATAGAATGTCTCAGTACTCTGTCAGTTGTGTGCCCAGTTGGTACACTTTCTGACTGTACCGTATTATAGAATGTAATTATATAGTTCCTATGGTGGTCAGTTACACTTTGAAAAATACTTGTGTCCAAACAACATGAACCTGTAGTCATGTACGTGCACAGTGTACAAATGTAAAACAGACAGATTCTATGATGATCAATAGTGTGCTCGATGCACAAAGGCACATCTATATGTACATGTATTTAGGTGAAACGAATGTCAAAACCTAGTAGCCGAATATTCTCTGGCTTAACGAACGAACGTACGAATATTCTTTTGGTGGCACAGATGACATCACATGCCCTCCTCTCAGTCATTTGATGGATATTGTCGTTACTATTAGGTATGACAAACGGTAGTGCCACGTAAAATGCACCACCACATAAGGCTACTTCGAAGTTCATACATGTTATGTGCAACATTGGCAGTCCAGTATGCACATGCACTGCGTTTGAAGTGACGTCACGAATACTTCGAAGTACTCGAATGCGACTTAAAGAATATTCGAATGCGACAAACCGAACGAATGTTTGAATATTCGAATATTCGTTTCACCATTTTACAACCGAAAGAAGAGGATGAAAATTTCGTTGTTCGCCCGGAATTTCATGCACGAGGCGGTCATCAGGCAACAGCCATGGGAAACATCTGGATGAGTCGCAACGAAATAGTTAACTCCTCTTCTTGTTGTACATGCACCTGTTACACTACTTCATACGTTGCATACTAGTAGTTAGTGGTACCATCGACAATATGCAGTAACTTGTTTCAACATTTTTTGTTTCAACAAGTTACAGCACAATCCGAGTGGATATCCTGTTCACGGATGGTTACGTGCATTATACGGCAATCAACTAAACAGATCTTGCCCGTGCTGATCTCGTTCCATCGGGCTATATGGTCCTTTCCGTAGCAGGAATTACGTACCCTAGAAGTATACCACACAAAGAGGCATGATATCTATAGATATGAAAATGAGACCAAAACGTCGCGTAATGATTACATTGATAATGGTGGCCAGCTCTGCATGACGTTTGGTCACCAGCATTTGTCAATCAGGCCTTTATCTTTTTTCTGGGTCGTGGTCTCGTTCTTGGGATTGCCCAGCCTAATAAGTTTTGATTGTTTTCCCTCAAGAAATTTGCTATTAATTTTGTATTTGTAATTTTGCATTCTCCACAAGCCTAAGCCTAAATCTAGGGAGTCAACAGTCAACAGCTTATGAAGCAGCACAAACTGAGGAGAGAAAATAATAATACATGCAAAACAGATGGAACAACGCGGAGTGGTAGGAAATTAACCCAGAGCTATCACCGTGCAGTATTCGCAAGTGCACTTCCATCTCAAACTGCTCGCTTACCTGGAAACTCTGGTGTTGTGATCTTGAATGCTGTGCATGTAGCCGACCTGCGTCCTGCTACGTTCAGCTCGTCACATTCCCGCCAAATTCCGGTGTCGATTTTTCGGCTATTTCCAAGCCTGTCACTCACGGACTGCTCGTACCACTTTGGTACAGCTGTGTGGGGAAACAGACAACGTGCACGCAGTAAGCTAAAACTAATTGGCAACGCGTAACGCGTATACGATGTGTGAGGTGAAGAGAAATATAGGCACCATAAATTAATGTTACTCCTATCAGATACATTGAACAAAGTGTCTGAAGGCCTTGCTGAAAATATATTCATCAATACCCTAAGGAGGGCAGTGCTTACTACATTGTACGGATGGGTATGTGCAGTGGCCTTATCACGAATCATCTGAGCAATATCATCGTTAATGTTCTTTGTGCTTCTGTAACTTTAACCCTTCCCATCAGGAAAGCGAGATTCGGGGCGGGGGGAGAGGGAGATACTTACAAATTGGCTACAACTAATCCGTTCTTCGCACGAGATTCAAAACGCTTTCCAATATTGAATAATAGGGCACCTTTCATTCCATTACTCTTCAGGTCGAATACAATGGTGATTTACAAGTTAATAACTTATGTGGAATTGAGCAGGAATGGAGCTGTTTCTGTGCCCCGGGCGGGGCCAGACCAGTGGTGATCATGACCTTCTCTCGCGAAAATAAAACACTTTGTTGAAGTAGAAATCTCGCCAGGACTTTATGTTACGCGATGGTCCGATATTACATGTACATGTACATTGGGGGAAGAAACACACGCCTCAGTATTGTTTTGAAATCCTGGGTAAGCGGAAGTCGGAAGAACGCAGTGCCACCAAATTGTTTTGACGAGGACATTTCCAACGTAATGCCCACATACGAAACACTCTCTACTCTGTTCACGTACATTGTACATGTACAAAAAGCGGGACCTCCGAAACTTTCCTTTTTCCTAAACCAGCCATTTGCCAGGTTCCTGTTTGGGCTGCGCACTCCTAAATGCACGGTTTGGGTATTCGACGGCAGTAGGGTAATATTGATAACGTCCCTACATTCAAGCGATCATAGATATGTACATGTACATGTACATAAACGTTCCCACAACCTACCGATTATAAAAAATGAATTGCAACGAGGTAATAATTATACATGTACATGTAGGTGATAAATCCTGGAAACTCACCATGAACAGTAATCAGGAGCGCAAGGGTCACCACCGCCGCCAGTACAAGGGAAACAACAACATTGTTGGCCATCCTTCTTCGTGCAAAGAAAATATCAGAGTCTGAAAAGCTTAGCAATTGCCTGCACCACTATAATATACTTGCTGAAAGATGCAAGGGAGGAGTAGTTTTAGAAGACCCTTTTCTCCCTTTTATAGGGAAAGGACAGAAGAATACTTTGGCAAAGGGCTAGATCTTCATCACTATCGAACTTAGTAGGCGGGTCTAGACCAGGTTCTACTTTGCGGTGATGCTTTGGGAAAGGTGAAGGAATGATGACTGGGGATTTTTTGTGGAAAACTACTTACCGTCGCCAGTGTCAGAACTGTTAGTATTCGTACATGTATGTCATCTACATGTACTTTTACATGTGAATGTGCATATACATGTATACTATGCAGTGGTAAACCAATCCGCCTGATGTACCGTCCCATGAATCATTGAATGCCAAAGACCGTTGGTAGATTTCTGATATCCACCCATTGGGACACCCAATGTACATGTACACGTATCATGACAATGTGTACCGCTCCTTGCTGTACACCGTCCCACAGCCACATATCTACATGACTGTACATGCAACTGTGTTATGCAGCAGCGTCTTTTTTTTCTTTTTTTTTGAATTTTGTTTTACTTCGCAAAATCCAAACGGGAATTTCTTTCCAATGACAAGGTAGCGAAGATCTTAAGAGGGAAGAAAAGAGAGAGAGAGAAAAAAAAGGAAAGAAAAAAGTGTGTATGCACTGGAAATGATAGTCAGCTGGAAATCGGATCCATTGTCAAGCATGGCATTTGCTACTGTTGCATGTAGTCAACGAGCAATTGCGTAGGGTCTGCTGCAGCTTTGAAGGTCTCCAGCGTTGTGCTGGAGCGGACGTCTCCAGGTAATCTGTTCCATTTACCTGTAGCGTTGAAGGCGTACCTCGACTTGCCAGCGTTTGTTCTCTGCTATTGCCACATGCCGCTACGGCAAATAATGGTTTAATATGGGTGCATGTATGTATAAGTAAGTCGTTTACTTGTATTTACATACATGTACATACATGTACCTGTACACACAATCATGTACAGTCTTGTACATGTACCACCATGTACATGTACAAGACTGTACATAATGTTGTGCGCTTTGTAGAGAGCCTAGGGGCTTGAATGGGCAAGGGTGTTGGTGGAACACAATGTACATGTACATGTATGTGCCATCCCGCCGTGCATAACGTCTGTGTTCACAGAAGTACGCCTTCAATCAATGCGCTGCATCTACATGTACATTGTATACAGCTTCAGTACATGCATCAACATTGCCGTCATAATATCACGAGGTTTTACAAGTACAGTCAACTTCGCTTATAACGACACTCGGTGGGGCATCAGAAAAGTGTCCCTATTCGCGAAGTGTCGTTATACCCGAAGTCTCATTACAGTCTTGTATACAGGTAGTATGGACTTTATTCTGGGCATGGAAATTCTGTCGTTATTCGCGAATTGTCGTTATATCCGTAGTCGTTATAAGTGAAGTTGACTGTACATCATGTCATGTACAAAAATGTACAGTCATGTATGAGGTGTCAGGACTCAGGACTCAGGACTCAGGAGATGCTGATTCATTACTGTACTGACATGGCATTATTTGCAACAAACATTAATACAAGACGGGTCGAGGAAGCGCAGCCGGCTTGAAGCAGTGTGCTCAGTGCGCACAATAATCAATATGCTGAGCAGTACACACAAACATGCACATACAAACCTTGTGGCGGACAATTCCTCGAATTCTGCTCCATTTCTTTATCCACATACCAAACATGCATGAAAAAGTACCGAATTTTGCCAATTTCTCTGCCGGCAGAATCCGCTGGACCCTATTTGGGAAATGAATGAAAGCTGTCTGCCCTATGAAATGCAATAGATTTGAGGCCAGTACGGGTGTGTAAATGACATTGGAAGGAATCAGATAGTTTGTTGACAAATGCGTCATCCTGGCTCCCAAAGGTGCAAACAATTCGCAACAAGTCAGCAATAGTTTGTTGACAAAATTAATTCGTCATCCTGGCTCCCAAAGGTGCAAACAATTCGCGACAAGTCAGCGATAGTTTTTTGACAAAATTAATGCGTCATCCTGGCTCCCAAAGGTGCAAACAATTCGCAACAAGTCAGCATGGTCGGGATTTTGGTCACAAATCCAAAGCCCAGCATGCGCCCGACGCCCGTACATTATGTCATGTACATGTAGTGTCGTGGACATTGGAAATCCGGTCGCACGTCTAGCGCAGTAGCGGCCCCACGCCCAGGCCGTGCACCCGTGTGCAAACAGTACACACAGACATGCATCATGTCCATGTAAATGTGCAATGATGTCGCTGCAGCGCGCTGGTCGCATCGGATCTTACTAGTAGTAGTAGTACATAAAGTGCACTGCATGCAACGACGTTCTGCACGCGCTGAGGGCGCCGGCCCCACCCCTGTCAATCCGGGATGTCCATGTATATGTCCACGACAGTGCATGAGTGTCGAGTATGTTACATGTGCATTGTGTAGCCTATCAACACATTTTTGTCATGCTGCATGCAGCCAAGGTCCTTGCAACGTACCGGTATTGACTATTGTGTTCCTTCATTGATGCTTGTCTTGAAGTGCTGGAGCACAGTACCGCATTAGGGTTCGTACGCTATCTGTGGCCGATTCAATACTTCAGTGGAAGGGCGGAAAATGAAGTGAACCTACCGTACATGTGAAACCACCCAATCTGACTGAACTCTTACTGTGTTTACAGAATACATGACCTGCTACATGTACATGTATGTACATTGTACATTGTATATCCTTTCTGTGATGGTTGTGGTCTAATTGTGATTGATCTAAAAATAAAATGATGACGATTGAAGACAATGGGAAATTAGGGTGTGTAAAGAAGTCAGTTACTAGTAGAGTACGTCATACATGTACATTGTACAGTTGTCAGTTGTCCGTTGTACATTGTATGCGTATTCTCTCTTCATGACGACTACAGAGTCAAAATGACAGCTGCATTGCGTGCCACGTCTACCTCCATTCTCGTGGGGTGCCCTTGAGTTTGCTGACACATTGATTATGTGGACGGGACGACAGTGCTCTGTCATGCTCCCTGGGCGATTTGACAAGTATGCGTCACAATTTGAACCTGAATATAGCGGCTTCTATTTTCAAACATACTTGCAATGGTGGTTCTATTGAACCACTACTTCAGACACTCAGTTGTCCGTTGTCCGTACTTCAGACACTCAGCCGGGAGAGGATGGGATAGTAGGCTGCTCCCGAAAAGGAGCACACCCGACTTGATGTTGTTGTCTTCAGTTTGTGTAGTTGTTAGTTTGAATTTACTACTTGAGAAACGGATTTTAATCTTCAAGTAGATGTACGCTTGCCCTGATCTGAAACACAACTCACTGTCTACTGGTGGCCTGATAAAGAGAAGCGAAGATGTTATGATGAGAGAGTGAGAGATGTGGAGCACGCGACGTTAGTTTTTGGATGTGTTGTGAGCTGTAGCAGTGGCTTGAGCACGTCATTCACAGCACTACATTATTATTATTCATAATTATTTTGAGGAAATGGAAAAGGAACCAGTCTAAAGAAAAATCCGATTCCTGTCGCCCCCAATAACGAGTCCTATGTCAACGAATTGATTCTCTGCTGGCGCTGAGAAAAGTATGGGCAGTACATACACAGCTGCATCTTATGTTAACTCTCATTCTTAGACTCCAATTAATTTGCCTTGCTGTGGTCGGGCATCATGCAATGATTTTCCCAGGCAGTAGGGTCCGGCGGATTCTGCTGGCAGAAAAATTGGCAGTATTCAGTACTTTTTTTCTGGTGAGTTTCATGCATGTTTGGTATGTGGATAAAACAATGGATCAGGTTTGTATGGTTGTGCCAATAGGGCTTGAAAGTGATGACGTCAAAAACGGCCAGGGAGTAGTAAGTTGACATCAGATTTCTATTTTGGATTCACTAAGGTGTGACTTCGCTATTGCCTCAGTATATGGGTGCATAGCAACCCACTCATGTCGTATGCAGGAGTGACTTTTACTTCGCCACCAGTTGTAACCCCGCCCCCTGTAGCCAAATCAGTCAGTTTCACTGGCTACATCACCTTGCTGTGAGTAAGACCACTTGAAATGTGCTTGGATCCATACAAAACTGGATCCAAGTGGATCCAGTTTTTTAATTTTTGAAATTGTTGCTATGCTGTGACGTAGCACTTTCAAGCGCTTTTTCACTGCTTTTCGAGCAGAATCTGCCACCTTTTCGAGTAGAATCCGCCGGTCCCTATTAATGTCCAGTGCATGGTATAATTAGTGTGCCACTATTTCTGCGCAATAAATCGGCAGAGCTAGTCGCTGGTGAAGTCCAAGTTAACCTACTCCGAAATGAAACCTTGAGCAATTTTACTGCCTGCAAGTTCGAAGTTCGTGCTGCTACCCACAGTCAACTGGGAACTTGTGGCCAGGCACAAGGGGTACATGGATGCAGCTAATTGGGTCGTTTTCGGCACTTGTGCCAGTGGTTGTGAGACTTGCCCACTCACCCCCACCGTTAGGCGCTGCATCTGCCGCTAGGGTTTATCGGGTGTTAGCGGCCGTCGTGAGTTCCCTTCGGGAAGGGATACGATAATTTACTTTTTTTTTTTTTTAGTTCGAAGTTCGAACTTGCAGGCAGTAAAATTGCTCAAGGTTTCATTTCGGTTCGAACTTCGAACACTATGCTTATAACTGAATATACATGCACATGCATATTCAGTATTCTGCACCGGTTCCGCATATTGATGATTCACTGCCTTATCTGTTGCCCCTCATTGTTACGTAAAACAATCATTAAGAGTCCTGTATAATTATAAGGAAAGGGAAAAACAGAAAGGTTCCAGGCTGTCCAAGAGGGTGCTCAATACCGAGAGGCAGAGGTACACTGTAGTTCAAACATTAAGAGAACGGAGAATGTGTTATAACACTGGGTTCAACACACTAGGCAATCATGGCAAAACAGTCACGAGTAAATCCGGACCAGTATTGGTTTATATACCCTCAAGTCAATTGGTGTAAATGACTGCATCATGAGCGCAAATCTACAAGGTGCGAATGACAGCAGTGCAAAGCGTATATGTCACTGCATC